GTGTAAGAAGCTCGATGGTCTTTCGAAGCTTTTCGTAAGCCGCGTTAAGCTCCGTATGCGATACTTCGAGCTTAGTGTATCTTTCGTTCAAGACCGCAAGCTGCGCTTCAAGATCTCGGGCGTGCTTCTCTTTCCGCTCTCGAAACGCACGTTGAGCGGCACGATTTTGAGCCCTTCGTCGCTGTACAAATGTTAGCTTTAGGTTTTGTTTGTGCGATATAGGATACATACCCCTGAGGTAGTGTGTGTTCGTTCGGTTGGCGCGGGCGTAGGCATAGTCCCGAACGTAGATTCGGCGTGCTGCAGTGGTCGAGGACTGCAGTATGGACTGTCGTGATCGGATCCGAAATCGGAGGGTGTCATTGGCATGGGGTATGATCCAAACTGCATAGGTTCATCGACGATGTGAGGGTAGTAAGCTTGGTGAATAGGTGCAGGAAATTGGTCGTATGTAGATGAGACCTTGAGCAAGTCAGTTTTGTAAACTAGGGGAGTTCAACATAAGACTCACAGGCGATCCGCTCAGACTCGGAACTTTGGAGAGATCGGGAGGCATTTCGAATACGGCTGGCTGATGTGTTGGGGCAATGTAGTTTCCCTGTGCCATCCAGTAATCGAATGAGTGAGAATCCATTGTGTGTGATTTGCGATTGCAGATAAGTGATGACGAGAAAGTTAATGAGTCTTTGCGCAAGGCAGAATGGTGTATAGGAATGAGCGATTGTTCTTCTTGTGATTAAGACTTGTGTTGGAAGCCGCTGCTGAGATAATGTGCAAGTGTCGTGTCAGTTCAAGTTGAGATACGTGTGTGGTGGAGATGGCTTACACAACGGTGGGCAAGCTGAGATCTTATACACTGTGCGGACGTCGCGCATGTCTCCTTCGGAACCGCGTCGAGTCACATGAGATGGCGGCCAGTGGCTTGAGCAGGGATATCTGACCATGCAATTATGCCCGCGAACAACCCCAACGGCCATGGTGGACCCTGAAGATGTGGCTTTCAGCGGAATACGTGCAGAAGATAGCTTGAATCGCATGCTCATACAGCTGCTACCGGCACACGCGTCCGAAGCACGGCCCACCAGTGCAGCAAGCACACCAATTGTTGTTATTCTCGTCTTCGAGTGGTTCCCAGAGTTACACCAGCCATGGCCGCGAGACAGGGGTCTGCATGGAGGCGTGCGCTTTACTCTTTCAAGTCTCTGATAAAAAGATTAGTACGCATGCTGAACTAGCTGCAACAATTTGCAGCCAACCAAAACCACGGTATCAAAGTAGTTCGCTGTCGCATTTGGTGACAGTCAGAGAGGTGCCTGGTCTTGTCTTCAAAGAAAACCACCCCACTTGAGGGTTATCGTCCCGCACAAGATGCATGGTAGGGCTGGATCTCCAAAAGCTCGGCAGTCCGTGGCTATGATGAGGTATCTTGAATGATCAATCGAACAACATCCGTAGTGAGGGGCTCACATACCTCAACACAGACGCTGGGTATTGCGCTGAGTCTAAGGAGCTTGTCTACATGACGACGTCAGAGCAATGCACTGACCCAAAACTACGTTCAGCTGGGCTGTTGAGCCTTCGCTTCCACTGCGAGCCTTGGGCCGAAGTTCGGTCGTAGTGAAGTGTCGTTCGCGCTAACTGGGAACGATGTAAAGTGCATGCAATTTTGTCACCGCTCTTCCTCGCTCGCTGCGAGAATACCGACACAGGGGCTATATTGGCTACCAACGCTATAACCCGGTACCATGTGTATTGCGCCCTTCTGGCGAGAACAACCATGCCAGGCCTTAGCGCATTCGGATGCGCTACGACATTCAGGTGCGACTATGGAAAAGAAATGGCTATTGTGTGCTTCGCTAGCTTGATACACAAGAGCAGAGCGTGAAATGGGCTCCTTCACATGTCTTGTCGTGCATTCGAAGGAAAGCAGGTATTCGCAGGGTCGGCAGGCGATCGGTGAGCGTCGGGTACAGCTGCCTGGGGGTGGCCGAAAAAGAACCCTATGGTGGCAGCACGTGGAACGCTAACTGAGCTGAAAGTCTACCTACGTAAGCGCGCTTGCCATGACTTATCAGTAGCCTTGTCCATGAACATTCCCAAGCGACCACCATCTTACATCAGGGAAATGCTCGGCGACGTAAGGTGATATGTACTCACCGTATGCATCCGAGCAGGCTACAGGATACAGGATACCTATGTCTGCTGCTCGAAACGTTATCGATGCCTTGCGCTAGGCTGTGGAGAGTCTCACCTGGCCGGTATGGTGTGATTCTTACATTGCACGACCCACGTGGAAAGAGACAGCCCTACGGCGTTCTGCTGTGACTACGCTGGACTACTTACCGAAACCAGTAATTCTGCACTTCCAGCGTGGCGGCGCACTAGTGACGTTCGCAAGAGGGACGCACCGGCTCGGGCTGCCGGTCTGGAGCTGCTTTCGCGAAACGAGCCTGTAGGCTGAAGAACCACCGCCCGCCGTCTTACGCATCCACCGGGTCCGCATGGGGCTATTTGGTCTAACCTTGTAGTAGGATTGCCAGCCGATACATTCTCAAGCGAATCGTGTATCTTATCTGATGGTCCTTCTCCCGCCACATTCGCTGCCGTCAAGCATACTCGTTAAAGCCTGCGCCGATTTGGTCTCGGCGCTGCAAGTCATTAGTGTGCCATCCCTAACCGGCAACACAACCTCTCTGCCCCGCTGCTGACACACCTCGTTCTCCGCAACATGAATCCCCAGCTTACACCCTAAACCCATGAAACTTCGAGGCTATCTCACCGGCTAAACGGTCAGTAGCGGGAGAGGAGATCAACCTGCGAGTTGGCGGACATAGGCGAGTTACAACCCGCTTCACTGCATCCGCATCGGGGCACAGCGCACCAAGAAACATACACAACGCTAGACCGAAGTGTCGAATGTTAATGCAAATACTCTGCATTATCTACACAGAATAGACGAGGCTGTCCAGTAGCAACGTTGGTTTGCCATGTTTCGCTCATTCCAAATACCATGGGACGTGTGACATACAGTTAGACGGCCTCTGTACCACATCCCCGTCCCAATGCTATGGATTCGGATCAACTATCGCAGTCCAACTCACCTTCTCATTTTCGAGCCATCTATCACGATCCCAAAGCGTAGTAGCGCAGAACGCACGTCAGGGTCCAGCACTTGTAGATCCTGGCGGACACTAACAGCCCTACGACAACTATCGCTGCTTTAGATCCGCTGCCTTACCAGACCCCACCGTTCAGATCTATCGTACGATTTATAGCCATTATCATGCAATGCTCAACAAGTGACGGGGAAGACAGATGATCGCCGCCTGCAGCACGTCTGCCCATCTATCATCTAGAAAGAGCTTTTGATAATGTACCAGTAGCATCATGTACGTTGATACCTGCAACAGTCTGGAAACATGCATACGTTTTATCTCGTCGTTTGACAAGGGCCGGTTATCAGAGATGCTCTTTACTCAACACAAGCACAAATTAAATGGTTAGCTTTATGCGACATTACGCATACTAACAACTCCTCTTACTATCCATCTTGATACCTACAGTCTTGAGTCAAAGCGGGTCCGAACTACCACCGATGACACCACTGCCACAATGCTGACTGCATACCCGTATCTCGTAAGCCGTCCAGCACCAATCACATCACAGCCTGCGCGCTTCGGACCCGATCCAAGACCGTTCCCTTTCCAGAGCTCAACGGACATGGTCTCACATGTGTCAGTGCGTCTTCTACGGGCCTTCTAGAAGGTGACTGTACCTCAGCTTCGACGTTGCGCAAGTCTTGGGGGACGTCTGTGCACCGGGGCTTCATTGCGATTCGATGGAGGGCTGCAGATACGAAGTGTTGGTACGAGAAGCTTGGTGATGCTTCGTTGGCAGTACTTCCGATTAACGAAGTCGCCGTGATCGCTCGATGACTACAAAGCTTGTACACCTACCTAATACCTCCTCTGTTCCTGGATCGGAGGTGATGTCACTGAGTGCAGACCTTCACGCTACGTCACTGCTTTGAGGCAGCGCTAGATACACTGGCTTATGTGATATACACCTTCCCACTCTTCATTCATCTTTGTACTCCTCAACAACTAGCAAGAGTCTGACTGACAGCTTGTGACTTCGTGCCCACGCTTGACATTCATCTTGGCATGCAACGACGAGCATGTTGCTGTTTCAGAAGATTCAAGTATAGTTCAGGAGTGGAAAGCAAGGTCTTGGAAAACAAGGGTATATTTCCATATCTAGATGCTATATCTAAACGCTTTGCTCTTGGAACAGCTCTTCCGTTGTATGTACTGTTCCTCCTAAAACACATAAGAAGGGATAGGACACGTCACGACACGTTGCACGAAATAGCTTCGGTTAGCAAAAGATGGCTATGGATGGGGTATCAACATCAGGGCGTTTACGCAGTGCATGGTGCCATCAACCTGTGCGAGCCTCGCAATCATAAGCGAAGCATCACAACAGGACGAGTGGGCGCGGAGGTATAGGTGAGATATCGTGTGCCGTGAAAGGGAGTAGGTGCATGGAGCAGAAGTTAACCGATGGGAGGCTTGGGCGCAAGGTCTAAATCCGGCGATGGGTTGCAGTGGAACCAGGCGGATGATGGTGTTCTTTGGGATGTTTTGCTAGGGCCAATGCTGCGTAGGTTGGTCGCTGTGGAAGTCCAAATCCGGCGAGGGCTGCGTGGTCCGGATGTCGCATGGAAACCAATGTGGAGTGGTCGCAACGGCTTGCTGCTTGGAACTGGTTGTCGCAAGGCGAGTCGACAACTGCTTCGGATAGAGTCGCTCGTGTTGCAATGGGGCTTACCTTCACATTTCACCTCGACACCACTCATCTCCATGTGGGTCATTGAAGTTGAACATCTTGGTGTTCGAGTACTATAGATCATTAGCAGGTAGATGTCCCAAACTCCTCCCATTTTGGGTCGCTATAACGCCATATCGCTATGCATGACAGAAAATATTAGAATGTATACTTTAGAGTGTCCAAAGACCGCTGCGTCGTTTGCCCATGGGGTAGACCAGAAGGGCAGCCATGAACAGCCCGACAGTGATGCCGATAGCAATCTGGATCATGGACGCAGCGACATTGAAGACGATGGCATTGAGGCTGTCGGTGGTGGTCTGCGCTACGTCAGTAATGTTTTCGTAGCGAGATGAAGGATTGCTGACGTCGGTCGATGTCTCTGCGCCCTTGATCAGAGCTGATGCTGTTCGTAGGGCAGAGTTGATACTGCCACTTGACGCAAGAGAGCCCGGAACTTGGACGTATACTGCAGGTAGGAGGACGGCAGCTGCAACTCCATGACGTAATCGGCTGTACAAGTTTGCCAACACGCCAATAGTGAAGGCGCCAAATGTATAGGCGATGGGGGCAGATGAGGAAAACTTCAGGCCAGCGTAGAAGTTGACAATGTAGCCAGCAAACGCGATGGTTATCATAGCCGGCATCTGCTTGTACTTGGCCTGTACCGTGAAGGTCGTGAAGAAGACGTAGAGTGGGACCATGAGGAAGTTCCAGTATGGGTTCATTGGATCCTGGCACTGGGTCGAATTGGTGGCGTTGGAGTCTATCGCACCGTATATAGCTGTGCCGACAGTGATGCCGTATCCGAGAAAGAGCGAGTAGATGATGGCGAAGACAAGGCGGATAGATCCCGGTACGATAGCACGAGACTGGAGCTCCAGGGCTGAGCTGAGCACCAACCATCCGGGAAGGATTAGAGCGATGGCGCTCTGTGCAATGGCCGAGAAACAGAAGAGGTTCCCGTTGTTGATGCTACCAAACGCCCGCGCAAGGAAGCTCATGAGGATAGTCGCAGTGATTTCGAAGACAGTGCTGTATGTCTTGGACAGCGGAGCGATGACAAGCTGGAGCAGCCCGAGGACAATGCCGAGTACGAAGATGACGGGCATGTCGATGGGGCGGGCCTTGAAGAAGCAAGAGACTGCCGCACTAGCAAGACCGTACATGAGGACAGTCAGCCAACGTGGATGGCGATCCTTTGCGTTGATGACCTCGTCCAAGCGGGCAAGAGCCTCGTCCAAGCTGATGACGTCGTGCAAAACCTCCTTGTAGATGTCGTGAGTGTCCTTCAGCTTGCCGAGGTTGACGCCTTGATCGGTGCGAACGATCTTGACTTCAGCGGTGTGGGTCATGCTGTCATCGAAGGAGATGATCATACACCCGGGGATGTAGAGGAATTGGGAGTTGATCTCAAGGACCTTGGCCGTTGTCGCAAGGTACTCTTCGAGGCGATGTGTGGGTGCGCCAAAGAGCATGAGAGCGCGGCACATGCGGATGATGTACTGCTGTCGCTTGAGGATGTTTGCAACGTGTATCTTGATCTTGGCATCCTGGTCTTCCTTTGGCTTCAACACCTTGGCAATGATTCCTCCACTGCTGCTGCGCTTGTGATGGCGCGGGCGCATAGCGGCATCTTTCTTGTCATCCTTGGGGTTTGCCAGCTTGGCTGAAGCGCCAACGAGAGTCGCCAGCGTCTCTGTTGACTGCATTGGCTTGTTTGCGTTGTACCATTTCTTCTTGGATGGGGTGCTGGGTCCTGAAGAAGAGCCAGGTCGCGACCTCTGTGTGGGTGATGTCTCGCTGGCTTCGGAGGATGTATCGGTATAACCGCGCACCGGTTGCTTGTAGGCTTGCAGGAGCTGGTAGAAGATGCCGCCGTTGGTGTTGCCGGTGACAGTGTAGGCGCCCTCGGGATCCACTTCGCTCACCGGCGGCGCGTTGTGGCTTTGCTGGCCGGTGTGGTATGCATTCCAGAGCTCTTCGGCGTCGGTGGTGTGTTCGTTGGTGGTGATTTCATTCGACCCGGATTCGCTGATGCGGGTGTAGCTCTGGACGTGTTCTAGGGGCGCAGGGACTTCGACGTTGGCCGAGCTGTTGAACCTGACCCGCGTCTTGCCGGTTGCTTGCTCGGGCTGCATCGAGGGCGAGGGGTACGTGGGCGGCATCTGCTGCATCTCGTGCGAGTCGACGTGCGTGTGCTCCGACGGGTTGGTGGTCGAGGGCTCCATTGCGGCGGGTGCTGCGTAGGAGAGGGGAGCGCTGTGCGGTTGCTGTGCTTATGGAAAAAGAAGAAGAAGAGATGAGGACGACCGCCACGTTGGAGGCGCCATGAGACTTTGAGTACTCCGGCTACGATGGTCCGGCACTTTGCTGTGCGTAATGGTCCTCGGACCGCAACCCAAAATACATTTGCGTTCGGTCGCGACCTGGCTGTGGATCCGAAACACAGGGCCGGCGGGTAGAAGCGATCAAAGGGGTCGCCGAAATGGGAAGCAAAGTTGCAAACTGGAGCCCAAACGCGTCGTGACTGTGTGAGCCATGATGCAACGCCAACGTGCGAGAGCTGCGAATGTGTCAAGGATTCGCTGCCATTGGCCCGTTGCGTGACTAGACCACGCCCGCTCTATCCGTGCCATCTTTGAAATATGGATCTTTGCATCAGCTGCTAAAGCATGGCGCGCATCCCCGACTCAACATGTCAATCCCCATGGGGCGTGCGCATAAGCGTGCACTCAATTCCTCTGTTCTTTGGTGCTGCGTCGAGTCATGGTGGCTGAAAATTTATCGTCGTTTGACGAATGCGAGGTTGTGCGAATGCGACATTGGCTTCAGCCCATGTTTGAGCTAGCAGCACCATCCGGTATATACCTTCATGTGCTGGCATACACCTCGTTTGCAATCTTCACAATCAAGTACCCGCTGTCGCTCATCAAGTTCCCACCATGACGCGTGTCGGGTTCATGAGCCGCGACCATCCATGACACTTCCTTTGTACCTTCCAGGGATACATTAACATCGTCACTCGCTCTCCCGCTGAGCCGACGCAAGAAGCTTGCTTGTAGCATACAGTCACCGCGCCTTTGCAAGGTGGCACCGGCGTCGCCAGGCATCATTGGAAGCAGACTCACGCCAGCTTACGCCAAGGCCTAGGTGACATGTTGACTGAGGGAACGAATCAACTCACAGTGGAATGTGAGAATAGGTGAGCTGGTTGCGGTCATGTCGCTGCCAGAGTAGTCAGACTCCAGCATGCACGCCCTATGAGCAACATGTCAGTGTAGATTCATCCTTCCCCGCCTATAGTGAAGACCAGTCATTACATTTGTGTAACTACTCCAATCACGCTTTTTCCATCTCAGTTGCATCAACAAACCACGACAATGGACCAGTCGCGAAAGACATGCGTAACGTACGTGGCTGCCGACTGCGGCTCCATCATACCAGGGAAGTACAGGGCGGCTGCGGCTTTCAAAACGGTCGACATCTACCGCAGACTGGTCGAAGCGGGCGTAAACGTTATTGACATCGACCCAAGTCAATTCCCCGACAGCGATGGCCCGGCCCCGGGACCGGACGTGCTCGACGGAGAGGTGACCTACAAGCCCAGCCCCTTCGTACCAGGCGACATCCGCAACAGGACGGGTAATCTGGAGCTCCTTCGCAGAGTGCGAAAGAAGATGACCGTGAACTTCCAGGCGGAGCCCAGAGCAGTTCAGCTAGTTCTTGGGGGCGAGTGCTGCATGCTGCCAGCCATCCTTTCCTCTGTCAAGAAAGAGTACCACGACTCTACTATGGGTCTTGTCTATATCGACGCGGACACTGATCTGCACTCACCTTTGGACGACGATTGGATGGGCTATTTTGCAAGCATGGTGAGCAAACTTCAGACGCAAGATGAACGTGAGCCAAACACTGACTTCGTACACCAATCTGCAGACGATGACGCAGCTCATGGCGCGGCCCGGGGCAATTAGTGACGAATCAGAAGGCACACTGGACCCTGTACTCGCTCGTGAGAAGCTCTGCGACAGTACCAACACAGTTTTCTTTGGCACAAACCTTCCCCACTCGGGGAACAAGCCGAAGCACCTAGCATATCTGAACGACGAGCACTTCAAAGTTGTCTCGTCAGAAGCGGTGGCAAACCATCCGGAAAGACGTGCAAACGAAGCATTGGAGCACCTTGAGCAGAACAAGGTTGAGGCTATCTGGGTCCATCTTGATGTTGACTCCATTGATCCAGGCGAATTCCCGCTGGCAAATGTCCCAAACTTTACAGGTGTGGCATTTCAGACGATGATGCAAGCCCTGACAGTACTCATGGCTAGCACCAATGTCGTTGGACTGTCCATCGCAGAGGTCAATCCAGATCATGATCCTGACCTGGCCATGACGACGATGCTAACCAAAGAGATCGTGAGTATGCTTGCGAGAAGGGAACTGGGTCACTCATTTTGAACGGGCTGGAAATGCGGCCTGAGCACACGAGACCTGGACGTAGGCTGGAAACAAGCGGGTAGGACCATTCATCTTCATAGCAATTCGGCGACTATCATTCCTGGTACCATCTATCGCTTGGGCTCGTACACAAAAGCGACCTCCTCGTACATGTCCCCATTAACTACCAACCTGATTCTACCCCTCTCTATGAAGCCCGCTTTCTGATAAAACGTCTGCGCAGCTTCAACGGTACTGTCCAAGTACACAGGCACCCCTTCCTTCTCGCACAAGTCCATGCCCCAACGCAGTAGCAAGGTACCTATACCCATTCGAGAATAATCAGGTGATACAGCGAGCCACATAAGATCTAGACCTCCAATTAGTCCGCATCTCGGGTCATGCAGAAGCACGTAACACCACCACCTACCATAATGCGGCGTATGCCCAATGACTTCCTCCACAGTCTTTCCAGCGGCCGCTAACCAAGGCTTCAACACATTCCAATCAGTGCCCTCCGGCAACTTCCAAGTTGGTAGTTTCCAGTCCTGCTCTTCGGCCTTGATCGGATGGCACCACACGGCATAGCCTACAGTCTTACCTTGCTCTTCCCTCACTTCAGCCTCGTCCGTGTGTTTGGCGACTAGGACTGTAATTTTGGGCTCCTTCATGTCAGCTAAGATTTTTTCTTCGACGCAGCCCTGAAGTGCTGCCCATATAGCAGGGGTGGGGTAGATGGCTCGCATGAGGGCGTTGGAGCTGAACGCTTGGACATGTAGGGCGGCGATGTCGACTGCATCTTTGGGCTGGGCTGGGGATATGGACACGGGCATTGTGGTTGATGTTTGGGCTCAAGAAACGATGCTTCTGGGTCAGGGTTTAGGGGGGGGGCGATGCACAAGGTCGTAGCGTGCATATGTGAACGTGGTCAAGTTGGATTTGATGGCTGAGGCTGGAGGGGTCACATGGTTTTTGTCAGCCTCGTGTGACGTATTTTGATGGATCTAGAAGCAAAACAATTAGAGCAAGCACAAACAAAATGCAGTGGTTTGGCCCAATCTTGCTGACCAAGTTTGCCCGGGCAGGGGAAGAGAGTCGTGTGTAGTCCGTGGTGCGCTAGCATACAGGTTTCTACCTTGCCCCTGCTTTGTTCTCATATCTGTGCGCATCGGGAAGGCCCGTTTGAGGATGGAAAAACAAATTGCATGTTGGCTGACACGAACTGCCTGTTCAGCAGCGAGAATTTAAAGGTTTGATTGGAGGGATGTATGGCTACTCGACCACCAGAGCCCATTGCGAAGAGCTGTGAGATTTGTCTTCACCACCACCGCGCGCCAAAAATCTTGGGCGCAACCTTGTCCTTCTTGTTCTCGGAAATCAGATCAATCCTCTGATGACCCTTTACATCCACAGCAAGCGTCTCGTAGTCGTAGTCATTTTGACTTGGTCTCTTAGTCAAATGTACATGTACCACGCCCTGTCCCAACGGCCCCTCGACAAAGAATCTGAAGCGCAGATGCTCAGTGCCCCACTTGTCAGTCTCTTCGGTACTGCTGAGGTAGCGATTGCGCGCCCATCGCGACCAAGAGCCTTCACCAAAAGCAGCGATTTCGGCGCCTGGACCCAGTAGTTTTTGACATCGGGGGTCCTGACGTATAAGTGTCGTTGCGCGGTTGAAGTAGGCAGTCTTGGAGGAGGGACTGAAGACATCGGAGAAGAGGAAGTAGCCGACACCGCCCTAATACAGATGTTAGTCGCCGCTTCCAAAAGTAGACTGGTGAGGGGAAGCTGTACAGTTGCTACTATGCCCACCAGGACCACTACAAAGTTGAAGCTCTGCTGCGTGGTCCGCACTGCCTTTTCGCCCGGTGACAGATCAGACCATCGGACTTGGCCCGTGTCGCCGGTCAAAGAAATCGACTTCCTTTGCGGTTTTGGCGTCGGACTGCTCGTCGACGTATGTGTGGCTTGTGCATGGTGGGTGGTGGAGAAGGCGATGCGCCCGATGTGCGCTCTGCGATTTGAGGCCCGGATGCGCGGTAAGACGAAGGTTGGTCGAATGAGCGCGATCGCTTCAGTAGGCTTGTATGCGGCGGCCATTGTGACTTTGCGTGCGAGTGAAGAGTGACGTTGAAGGCATGCGATGTGATGCGATCCAAGGATGCGGAGCGGAGCTCGTGTGACGCCGGGCTTGAGGTCGACGCAGCCGCGGCCCGGTTCCTGCATCGGTCCCTACTTTTGGCATCGACACCGCACGCTCTATCAACCTCCCGACCCAGCACTCGCTCTTTGAGCACAAGCCCACGCTATCTGCAGACACGAGCGCACTGGTGAAAGTGCAGCCCAGCGAGCATGAGCGCAAATAAGAAGAGCAGCCTTACGGGCTATCTCCCAGATATCCTCATGGCAGCTGCAGCAGTACGTCTATACCCACGAACGCGCCACAGTCTCCCCACACCCACTGTGCCCCTCACTGCCTTGCCGACTACATGCTCATATCCCCGTAGCCACTAATAGCCTACTTCGTAATTCGCAACCTCCTCACACGCCTCGACCCGGAAGCTCAACAAAAAGAAGAGGCCCGCGCCAAAGCCTCAGCCGCCACACGTAAACTCGACGCCATCCTTACAAGCAAGCGGCGGAAAAGCTACGGCGAATACGACAGTGAAGATGAGGAAGACACAGAATCGAGGCACAGACGGCCCAGGATACAGGATCTCAATTTGAATACCTACGAGCAGACGATTGCCATGGAGGTGGTTGCGCCCGAGGAGATTCCCGTGAGCTTCGAGGGTACGTCATAAACTCGTCCGGGCTTGAGCCGTGGGCTGTGGAATTATGCGCATGAGTGCGCGCGAATTGGCCTACTGGAAACCTGCGTCGCAATGTAAAGCTGACATATTCCAGACATTGGCGGCCTTGACTCTATTATTGAGGAGCTCAAAGAATCCGTCATCTATCCTCTGACCATGCCCCACCTCTATTCGCACTCTTCCTCGCTCCTCAGCGCACCCAGCGGTGTCCTCCTCTATGGCCCTCCTGGCTGCGGAAAGACTATGCTCGCAAAAGCCCTCGCACACGAATCCGGCGCCTGCTTCATCAACCTACACATCTCGACGTTAACGGAGAAATGGTACGGCGACAGCAACAAGCTCGTCAACGCCGTCTTCAGTCTGGCGAGGAAGCTACAACCAAGTATCGTCTTCATCGACGAGATTGACGCAGTCTTGGGACAGAGAAGAAGCGGAGAACACGAGGCCAGCGGAATGGTGAAAGCTGAGTACGTCACAATACCATCTCACCTCACTTGCGACGAAAGTAGGACTAATAATTCCTAGGTTTATGACCCACTGGGACGGCCTCGCATCCAGCACCTCCTCCGGCACATCGACCCCCCAGAGAATATGCATCCTCGGCGCCACGAACCGCATCCAAGATATCGACGAAGCCATTCTCCGCCGCATGCCCAAGAAGTTCCCCGTCGCACTCCCTTCAGCCACACAGCGTCACAACATCTTCTCTCTGATCCTCCGCGGTACCAAAATCGACCACCAGAACTTTGATCTAAACTACCTAGTTCGTGTCTCGGCTGGGATGAGCGGCTCGGATATCAAGGAGGCGTGTAGAGATGCGGCCATGGGGCCAGTGCGGGAGTACATCAGGAGAAAGAAGGCAGACGGCACACTGAGGAGCAGCAAAGGAATGGCGCAGGGCGATGTCCGCGGACTGAGGACAGAAGACTTCTTCGGTCGGGGCAAGGGGCTGCGCGAGATGGAGACGGTGGACGACACACGTGAGGAGATGAATGCGCGCGTACGAAGTCGTATTCACACCACTTCCGAAGAGTCGGAGGAAGCGAGCAGCAGCGACAGCACAGCTAGTGGTGAGGAGAGATTCCGCGACTCGGCATACCAGGGCGCGACCAACGAGGCTGTCGTACAGTAATGACAACGCTGCCATTGAATATCAGTATGGCCTTGTAAAATGTTTGTATATGTTGGAATATCACGAAGACAAGACAAACGTACATATGGGTGGCGTTTCTGTGGGCTAGGCATAGATTTAACGAAGGGACGTGATATAACGTCACATCATGCTACAATATATCAAATCACAACTTTGGATAACACATATTTGAAACATCTGTATCATTGTGTCGTTTTCCGTTACCGCACCTACGCTACGTGGAGCAGCCACACATCCAAAGTCAAACTGCAGCTACAACGGATCCGCCAAGCAAAACAACGCTTGATGCAGACGCCTACTTCTCCTCCTCACTTTCCTCGCTCTCTTCCTCGTCTTCGTCTTCTTCCTCGTCATCTTCTTCAGCATCGGCTGCAATCTCCTCATCGGCATCATCCGCCTCTACTTCGTCTTCTTGGATCAAAAGGTCCTCCACCGTTCCGCCTTCTTTCTCCAACCGCAGGTACTCATCCCATTCGGGGAACATCTCTGCATCTCCCTCACCGTCCTGAGGCGGCGTGCCAAGGAGTCTAGCAACCTTGGTCTTGTTCTCCTTCTCCAGGGACTCCTTCCATTGCTTGACAAGTCCAGCGGTAGCGCTTGGCTTGTACGTTTGTGAGAAGAGAACAGCCTCGGCGAGGCGGTTGGTCTTGACGAGCAGGTCGATACACGCCTGGACATCACCGATTTGCCAGAGCGCAGAGAAGGCCACATTGTTTGCGGTGGCGTTCTCGGCTAGGGAAGCGAGTTCCCGGAGGCCAGCGGCATCCGAAGTTGCGCTGTAGAGGAGGAGAAGGGAACCAAGGTCCTTGGCCTTGACGAAGCATTCTTGCGCGAGCTTGACATCCCAGTTTGTGAGAGCAGCATCACCGACAGTCTTCCACTTATGCTCCGTGTCCTGCTCACGAGCAATTGTAACAGCCTGTTCCAGATCTCCAAGGGACAAAGCGAGATCGAATCGGTGTTCGGGATCGGTGGCAACCTTGAGCGCCATTTCCTTCTGGCCCTGACCTTCCAAGAATCGAGCAATCTTGTTGTTCTGATCCTTGGGCACAGAGGGAAGGGTCTCCTCAGCGGCTTCAAAATCACCTCGGAGGATAAGTGTCTGGTACTCAACGACAGCCAGAGACAGCGCGAAGGAGACCACATTGACATCCTTATCAGCGACATAGATTCTGGAATCACGAGGTAGATATCCAAGGACGTAGTGAGGCGAGTCGAAGTGGGAAATGGTGTACGTTTGATCGCCGACAAGGTAGTTCAGGCGATTTGTGCTGTTTGTGTAGATGAAGCAATCTCCAACCCAGGTACCGGTACGAACGCTGTTTGTCATTAGCTTGTGGATTCAGTAATGGCTTCTTACAACGTACCTCTCGTTGATGTCGCACACAACTTCGAATGCAGACTCGGCACCGTCCTCGTCCACTTCACCGTTTTGCACGGCTTCCAGGTAGTTCTCCCTAGAATAGCGAAGGACATAGAATGTGTCTTCCGTGGCAAGCGTCACGAGTTCCCCGCTCTCAGACCAGTAGACGCTCTTGGGCTCGACCTCTATCCGTCGAACCAAGGCGCCAGAGTCCCAGTCGAATAGGCCGATACCGCCTTGACCCTTCACACCCAGAAGCACGCCGCCACTCAAGCCGTCAGCCGAGAAGCCAACATTCAGTACACTCCGCTCCTTGAAGTTGCGGAAGATCTTGACGCTGGTAGAGGATTCCCGGATGGCGTAGTCCTTGTCGTGTTCTTTCGAGGCCCAGCAGAAGTCGAGAGCGCTGCCGAAAGCTTGGTTACGAAGAGCAAGCGCAGTGTAGATGATGTATTCACCATCACCACAAACTGCTACGAAACGTCCGTTGGGCGAGTGCAGCAA